TCAGCTGTCACAGTGTAAATAAATAATTTTCTACATAGCCCTCTGATCTGTCTCTCTCACCGGGCATAAGAAGGCTGAATTTCTCCTTGACCTATAACAACTAACTACTAAAGCAGGATTTTGTCTGCATGTAGCAATGGCCCAAATTGTCTGATGACAAATGCAGTAGTCTGATAGTACACACAGATCTCTCACTCTGCAGCACCATCAGCACTGACAGTGACGTAAGAGACATCTCCCCAGTAGGCTTGCACAGCTCTGTTGAGAGAGTTTTGAAGCAGCAGAGGTAATCCCACAGAGGGGAGGCAGGATGTATCACCAGATGTTTTCTCTGAGGGCTCTGCGGAAACGTTTCACGAGAGAGTAACAAACACTGACTTCTTGACAAAGGTCAGAGAGCATTACTAATTTCCATGTCACAAAATATCTTGCAATAGTCTGCAGAAAAGGGAGTCTATCTGCTCAGTCTATCTTACCTTTTCTGTGTTCTTCAAGTGCCAGTATCTGTGCACACATATTCACACAGATTCTTTGTAACAAAACATCCTGCTTCAGATATGTACACATTTATCACAGCTCTTTATTATCTATTTTTGGGAGCCTTGCCAAAATAACTGTTTATAATATGCCTGAATGTAAAACAATTTTTTTTTATTTGCAAAAAGAATATTCACTGATATCTTAAATATCAGTATCAGCCCAAACAATATAGTGCTCTTGTCACCAGGTGCCACTTGCTCTGTTTGGTGTAAATGCACCCTGATGTGCAGCAGTCCCACTGGAACCATAGCATTAATAGCCATATCAATTTGTCAATTTGTGAAAGTAAATCTGTAATCAAAGTGTATCAAATTGGATCACTTAGGAGATGCACAACACTGATTGGTGAAAATTCAACAAGACGGGTTAGATCCACCACTAATTACCAGTGTTTGTGTGTTTATGTGTATTCTCTGCATAGACGCATGTAAGTGCTCCTTCGTCACTCAAAATCCTCCTCCCTCAATTCATAGCATTTGCATTTACATTTGCGTTCCACAGTCACTCCCTCGTCTCATTACAACACAATTAACGAGCAATTAGAGTTTATAGAGGGTGAATTAGCTGACATGTAGAACAAACCTAATGTACTGGGAGTGTAACGGGATATTGCCCAACACCAGTGAGTGGAGGAGGACAGAGGGCAAGAGATGAACCAGTGGACAAAAATTGAGGAGGATCAGAGAGTTTTTATTCTGACTTTGCACCATGCGAATGAGAGAGAGAAAGTGAAAAACGGCCTGAAGAGGTTGAGCCATGACAGGGGGAGAGAGTGAGGGAGAGAGAGAGAGAGAGAGAGAGAGAGAGAGACTGAGTAAATGTCACTGTGATGGTTATAACTCTCCTGACCTTGGGGAGCAAGACAATATGTACTGAGTCAGTACATCTTGGCAGGAAGTCTATAGGTCATGTTTTAGCTCTTTCATATGTAAATGTTATCTGCATCTGTGAGTTTATTTAGCTACTCAGTTTTAGACATGTGGATAATAATTTAAAATAAATAATTAAAAAAATAATAATAATTAAAAATACTGTACAGACTATATATTGGATTATTATTGCCATTTTCCAGCCAGTCTAATTAATATACTTATCAATCTTGAGAGTCTATAAACAAGTAATTGTATGAGAAATAAATGTTGAAAAGGTTGTAAATAAGGTAGGCTTGTGAGTCAAAACCTTCAGCAGTGAATGTTTCATTTTACTTTTAAAATATATATTCATTATTTCATTTCCGCCTCCTCGCTACTCAAAAAAATCAACAAGATTTGCATAAAAATCTTTGCTGTTAAACGACTCAGAGAGAAAAGTGAATATGTCCTCCCACAATGATCTGAATTTGTTCTTTAATGTGGTCTTTGTTATTTTGTTAACTGATCTGGAACAGCAGTGATAGTCCAGGAGGGCCTTGATTTTTTTTTAGTGCTACTAAACTAAATGAGCAAAACTTTAGGAGGTGTGAACATCTAAATCTAAATGTAAAGATACATAACTCAATCTAAAAATACTGTCAGCTTAAAAAGTCGAAATATCAATCACCAGCCAAACCCTTTCTGAATTCGCTATTTCTGTTTCTTTGTTCATTCCTGTCTGCTTCATGTTATCCATCTGGATCTATCTCTATCTCACTCTGTCTTCTTCTTTCTACCTTTATCTCTTTTCACCTGTCTTTCTCAGTTAACTTCTTTCTACATCTATCTGCTTTGATCCACTTCTCTCTGTGTCCACCTCAATTTACCTTTATCTCTATCCTCCTCTATTGTGCATCTACTCTGTCTCCACCTTTTTCTGCCCTTTTCTGCCTCTACTTCCAAATGCCCATGTCTATGTGCCACATTCTACCTCTATGTATCTGTATTAGAGCTCAGTGATATATTGAATATGTTCGATGTATTCAAATATCAATTAATACGCCATACACCATATCGTCATGTTCAAGTTTTCAGAGTTTCCGCTGGTCATCACTGAGGGGTAGTTACGTAACTTTAGTCAGGGATAAAGTGTATAGATAACTCAGGTTGCAGTACAATAGTTACTGAAAGGCTGTGTGTTGCTACTTGCACAGAAAATTAAAATTAACGTTTATGTAACGTTAATACAGCGTCTTCTACTCTTCACAGCAGAGCTTGTCCAGACTGTGAAAGGCAAGCTTGTTGGCAGCTATGTATGTGTCTTCATGTGACTGAGGTTTTGACCTCAAGCTTGACTGTGCATTCTCCTCCCGCGTATTCTCATATATCCATCTTTTGACAATTAAACTTTGATGCCGATTTGTTAGAAAAAATAGGGAGTGGTGAATTATTTATGGCTGGATTTAAAAACACTGAATCAAGCACGGTGGTGTAGGCTATCCACACGCGTACACACACACTGCTGAAAACACCCATGCACAGATCAATAATAAATCACACGGCAGCAAGAGGGAGGAAGAAGCGTTGAGCGAGGAATTTATAGTGCACTGGGATGGTAAATATAAAATATGGACACTCATACACACACACACTCACAAACACATTTATTTCATTTCCAGTCTCATTCTTGCTGATGATTTATAAAGCCAATCCATCACAAAGGGCTTGATAGCTTAATAGAAAGGAGAAAAGAGGACAGACTGCTAATGTCTGAGGGACGCGGCCTTCCGTTTGTCAAACACAAAGGCAGTCTGGTTTAGCTTCAATCTAGCAATGAGCAAAGATGTGTAGGAAATATGATACTCTCTTCTCTTTCTCTGCTACTCCCTTTTCTTCCTCTTTGTCTGTTTTTTCTCTTCTGCACATAACAAACACTTGGATGCGGCCTCAGTCCCTTGCAGCCCCGATTCCCTGCTCTTCATAATTGAATTATCAGTACAATTGAGTAACTATTCATGATTCACTTTAACAGATCGCCCATGAGAAAAACACAGAGGTAGGGGGAAAGGCTGACTAAATGCCTGGGTGTTTGGCAACTGCCTAATTTTTCAAGAGTGGGAGAATGGCTTACTGTACATGGAGGAAGCTGCATCTCCAGCCCGTGAAGCCCATTTAGACACGCTTGTGACGAAAGCTTTCGCAATGATGTGATGTAAGACCACATCTGGGAAATGGAGAGCGATGGCGGATTGGTCTATCATGACTCTTTACAACCCTCTGAAAACCAGTCACACCGAAAAAGGCCTTTTCACAGCATGCCTCATCGCACCATTTAAAAGCTCTTTGGCGACAGTAAGCCAGAGGTAGCGCTTCCCTCTATGTTACACTCTTCACCTTCAACTTCCCTCTATTTGATTCTCTATGAATCCTTTCTGGCTTTTAAAAAAAATCAAATTCTTGCCCTCATATTTTCATAATGATATGCTCTTGTATGCAATTTGGCTCAGCCTCTCGCTGTCTCTCTCTTTCTCTAGCGCTGGGTCACCTTGAAAGTCTCTCTCACCCTCTCAGATCGGTCACTTTGCTGACGAGTAATTGCGCTTCTCTCATATTTCGCTGGTGAGAGAGAAATGGAGAGATAGAGAATCTAATCGACGTAATGCGCCTAATCTTCTGAGACTTGCAGTGTTTCTGGAGCACTGCACATTGCAGGTTTTGATGGATCTGACCACACATACTGTCAAACACCCATGGACAGATTATGAGCCCAGGGCACAGACAGCGAACAAGGCTCCCTCCTATAATCACTCCTCAAAGTCCCAGAGACCATACTGCATGATGTCAGTGAGGAGGTGTAAACATTCACTCCTTTTGAAGGTCATGAAGGCTTCCTTGTTGTGACATCTTTAAAGGGACAGGAAATCCACTCTTCCATTTTTTACACCAGTGCAGGGTCACAAAAATGATATCTAATAGAGGCCCTGGATTAGGGGCCCTGAGCACTTCTGGTATGTTTTAACACAATGTATGTTAAAGGAACAGTTAAACATGTTGGGAAATGAGAAGATCGATACCACTCCCGTGGCAGTACATTAAATATGAAGTCACAGCATCAACCAGGTAGCTTAGCTTAGTCACAAAACCCGTAAAACAGCGTTTTAAAAATCGTTTTTACACTTTTGCTTTTGTACAGGTTAAACATACAAATAAGATACAACATTAATTAGTGAGCTTTAAAGGTGCTGGTGTAGTGGGGAATTTTGTCACCTTTGGACAGATCCTGTTTCCACTCTTTGTGGTAAGCTATGCTAACCGGTTCTCATCTTACTCTCAGCCAGAAAGCAAATAAAAGTGTATTTACCAAAATATCAAACTATGTCTTTAAAGACAACACCACCTGATGCAAGTTATGATGCATATGTTGTGTTTTGAAAAGAAAAACTAAACACATCTTTGGTGGAATTGATAATAAAACGTGATTTGTTAAGAAAAGTTTAGATGTTCAAACTAATGGGACAAGAGCAGGACGGCCCTTTGTGTTTTTGAACTTATCAGCGATTGTTGCCATGATGTTGGCAGATTTTGTGGGTGTGTGGAGACAGCACTGACCGTTTGCTTTATGTCTGGGATGCCGATGCGAAACACCATCATGGCAATGTGGGTGTCCTCAGATGGCACCGAGCTGGCACTGCGCTCCTTCAGCCTCCTCTGCTGCTGCTGTTGTATGTGATTGGCTGGCTGTTGGTGTGTGGGTCCAGGGTTGGACGAATAGGGGTTTGTGGTGTGTCCAGGGTTCCCTGGCCGTATCTGTCTGTCCCCGGTGGGTCGTCCGGCCAGTTTACCTGACTGCCTGTGTCCCTCACCCCTGCCCCCCCGCGATAGGCCTCCTCGCCTGACCTCCTCCACCATCTCCTCCTCATCGTCTTCCTCCTCCCCCTCCAGCTCGCCATTCTCCTCCTCCTCCTCCTGGTCCTCATCACGTTCATCTTCTTCCATTTCCTCCTCCTCCTCTTCCTCCTCCTCTTCCTCGTCCTCTGCCCCTGGATAGAGATGTCGATTGTTTCCCAGCATCCTTTGTTGCTCCTCGTCGCTGGACAGGGGGCTGAACGGCATCGTCATGGCGACAGAGTGGCAACCAGTGGCAACACCATCATTCCCAGAGAGACACTGCAATGAATGGGATGAAAGAGGAGACATGAAAAACTACAGAAGGTTTCTTCCCTGGCAGTATCAAGGCTGCCACACCACATCACTCTATGGGAATAGACTGCTTCAGTTAATGACATGTAGTACTTCTAACCCTCGACGCATGATGACATACTATTCACACCTCATGTATAAATGAACCCACTTGTGCTATTAATTTTCAGCTTACAGACACTCACCAGACATTCAGACATCCTGCTTGTGGTATTAAACTTAAGATATGGCTGCAGATGACTGAACCTTCAGAAGCTTGAAACGCCTGAAATATACCAGTATTTCACTCTGAGCGATAGTACTATGGTGGTTAATGTTATGCTATATTGGAATATGCTCCTAAGGAGAGCACTACTGTGACTGTGTGCATTACTGAGGTCCTATTTACACCATAACCTTGAAAAATAAAACTAAAAAGAAAGTATTCCTCTGTAGATATAATATATATCAGACAAACAGCTAATATATATATATATATATATATATATATATATATATACACACATTATATAATTTTTATTAACTATAATTATATATCATCTACCGTAAAACTTCACTTAATAGCCCAGGCTTTTATTTGAGGAGAATCTAACCAATTTAACAATGTGTAGCATGTCTTTTCACCAAAGTTTAAACATTTAGGTTTTATACATCCAAAGAACTTCTATAAACATCAGACCAGGTTTCTATTTGAGACCTGCTTTTATTTATCAAAATGTGTAGCCACACCAGGCCAGTGGAAGGGACAGGTGTCTACTTGGTATAGGCTTTTAAGTTTTACGGTATATTAAGATATATTTTGGCAATTTGTTTGCACATAACTTTGGGCAATTACTGGGCAGGTTTTCATGATATTTTGATTGTTCAAAGAGGATAAATCAGGTTCTGTTAACCTCCTGACCTTTAGCTTTGCGCAACCAACAGGCAAAAATTACCACTTTTACATAAGAAATATCAAAACCTAGTCAAGAATTTACATGACTTTCATTAAGCACATCAGAAAATTAAATATTTCCATTTGGATGTCACAGCTCTCTCAGTGTAATCTTCAACCAAAAATGTCAGCGTTGCACCTTAATGGTATGATAAAATAAGCAGATTGTCAAATTCATGTGCACTGGAGAATAAACCTTTTGATTTTAATGTCTCCTCAAGTGTTTTTTAACACTTCTGCCAGGAAAAACTTACCCTCACTACTGTTAAAGCTCTAAAAATAGAAAAACCAACTGTGTTTTGTTCCTTAGGTTAAGCACTATAATACTGTTGGTTGTAATCAACACGAACCTTAGACTTTAAGTCTTGTTACAGTGAAGCTGCTGAGAGCTGATACTGATACTCCTATCCTTGAACAATTTAAATGCACAAAACAGAATTTCGCTTGAACTAAAATCAATTGAAATACATACCATGAAATTACTTTGTGATTGTAGTTTCTTAAGGCAGGATGAAATTAAATGTCAGTTTTTACCAATGCAGTTCCTTGAAGCTGTGTGAAAAAGCTAACATCATCCACAGTAAACTAATATGTCGGTCTAGCACTGCACAGCAGACTATTAATCAATGCACGTCTGCTATATAGACACTCCAATGGACAACAGCTCTTCATATATACACACTCTTTTGCTCTTGCCATCACCCGAGAGAGCCAAGAAGCCACTTCAGAGCATCAGTGATGCAGCGCTGTATTCAAGTACAAGCTGAGCAAGATAACAGATCTGTCCCTGGTGCCTCCTGGTTGGCTCTGTGTGCTGTTTCAGGATTTTCAGCACCACTACATTCTGGACAGCTCCACACAGAACCAAACAGCAGAATAACGGTGAGAGAGACAAAACAAATTTCACACCAGAGGATTAACCAATCAGCACAGAGAGCTGGAGAAACACCAAATAAACATCTGATCTGAAAATAAAGAAATCAAGCCTAAAGGTGGAGTGTGGGACTTTTACATATAAATAAATGTCCGATCTGACAACATGCAAAAACAAAACTTTGAACTTAATTTCAAATGACGGTTATAATTTCAACATTCATCTGAAAATTAAATAAGAATCAAGGTGTTTGTGTTCATTTTACTTCTAATGAACATCAAGTGCAGAATAATGAGGTGACATTATGCATGTGTGTGTGTGTGTGTGTGTGTGTGTGTGTGTGTGAGTGTGTGAGTGTGTGAGTGTGTGTGAGAGAGAGAGAGAGAGAGACATGGGAATCACAGCCATGTTGTGAAAGGAAAAAAGTCTTAAGACACACAATGTCAAGGCTTTCCTCATGGGACACTGAGATAAAACTACCAGCTTTCCAGTCTGACATGAAACAGGAAGGGAGAAGGGGGTACCACAAGAAAATGAAAAAAGAACAGCTAAGAGTGAACAGGTTTCAACATGTCAATTAATCAGGTATCAAGTCTTCAAATATTATTCTTCTTTAAAAAAAAAAATTTTAAGCATGGAAGTTCAGGGAGATAATAACAAATTTTTATTATGCAACGTGAACCAAGACTGCACCAGTGGAGCAATGTGTACCTAGATTGTGCCGTTTGGTGGCAATAACTACAATAAATGAAACTGTCAAAGAGAAAATTGGAATTCTTGCCACAATCCTTCACTTGATCTAACAAAAACACAATTTCAAGCCTAAATGTGAAACTAAACGGCCTGTTAAACATTTTTTCGTTTTGGAGAATATATGTCAGTCTTTTTTCGATTTTTCCTCTCTTCTCACACAAATAAACACACTGACTGTGTCCAACTATAGAAATCCTATTAGCAGGCAGACTTCTTCACAGTAATAAAGAAAGACAGAGATGGCAAATGAGTGTGAAGTTTAACACACACAACATGCAGACTGTAGCACAACTATTAGAAACAAGAAGAGGACACAGGCTTGTGACACTTGACAACAAAGGAGAAATGATAAATTAGTCATTATTATTACTCATGCATTTTATCATTATTGATGCGTTAACCTATAAATAGCCTTTTTCAATATTACTCATACTTTATGCACTCTTGGATTATTAAGTGTTGCAGGTTGTGTCCTCGACTTTCTCACTAACAGAACGAAGTGTGTAAGGGTGAACAATAAAATGTCTAGTGTGTTGAAATCACTGGCTCTCCTCAGGGGTGTGTATTCTATATACAAATGACTGCCGAAGCCATTATGACAACAGACACATCATTAAGTTTGCTGACGACTCTGTAATTGTCAATTGTAATTGCCTTCTCAGTGATGATGAAACTGGTTATGGTTTGGTTGTTAACGATTTTGTATCCTGGTGTGATCATAATTTCTTACAACTTAAATGTTTCCAAAACAAAAGACATGTGTACTGATTTCAAACGTTCCCATCCAGCCAACCAGAATAGTGTTGCCAAAGGATAGGCAGTGGACATGGTCACTAATTATAAATATTTGGGCATTATGATAGCCTGTTAATAGCCTGAAATTTGACCTAAACACTGAATTGCTATGCAAAAAGGGCCAGCAACACCTTTTTTGCTTAAGGAAACTGGCTAAATTTCAGTTTGAACAGACTCTAATGAAACTATTCTGTAGAGCTTTCATTGAATCTGTCATTTCATTTTCCATTATCTGCTGGTATGGTAACCTTGGTATCAAAGATAGAAATGCCCTGGCTAGGATTACTAAAGCGGGAGTTCAGTTTAGCAGTCTGAACCATATATTCATTAAGCGTGTGCTTATAAAAGCAACGGCTATTCAGATAGTGCCCATCCTCTTAACTCTGAGTATACTCTACTACCACCTGGCCAGCGCTTAAAAGCCCCTACTGCCAGAAAAAACAGGTATAAGAACTCCTCCATTCCTGTCTGTATTCAAGCTTCAAATGCAAATAGCAGAAGGAGGTAGCCACCTTATTGATGTTGAGGGGATGGTTGACGGTGACCATGCCAACACGAGATTGGGGCAAGTATGTAGCGGGGTTTTTTAGTTTTTGTTTTATTGAGATAATTATATCCTATCTGTGTTATTTACCTGCAGGGTTATATTTTATCTAGGGTAAAAGTTGCGCAAAATATATCGTAGTGTGGGATAATTTCTGTAGTGCAGAATGTTAGTGGTGTGATAGGTGTACATATATTTTATAGTTGTCAATGCCTTTGTTTTTAGCTAGGACGACCAACGTTGTATTGGTGTGAGGAATCCAGTGTATAGGTTTTGTTTGTGTATGTGTGTGTGTGTGTGTGTCTGTGTGTGTCTGTGTGTCTGTGTGTGTCTGTGTGTATCTGTGTGTGTCTGTGTGTATGTATTTTTGTATTATATTGTATGTTTATGGGTTTTTTTGTGTTGTGTTAATATGCCTGCTGCAGCACAAATTGCCCAAATAATAAATGATTGATTGATTGATTGATTGGATTATTAAATACACAACATTATATGTTCTCATCTCACCCTATGTTTTGCATGTAAAATCTTTATGTCTACAGTAATAAATAGTAACTAAAGCTTTAAGATATAGTGGAGCAAATTGTGCAGTAAGTCAAGTATTAAGCTTAAGCTTAATTATAGTACTTAGTAGATTAGTTAATATAGTAAACATAAACATAAATGTGTGCTCTTGTTATATGGTCAGCTGTATAAAATGCATTTTTAAAACTTCTGAAAAGGTTTAAATGGAAATGGAAATGAATGAGGCTTCTTATATAAAGCTGTGTCTGACAATTTTGAGGAGTGCTAGAAGAATGGAAGAAACAAAGATGAAATTAAGCAAGCTTTTGTGACTAAACAAAGAGATAGACAAGATGACAGGGGAGCAGAAGAAGGCTAGAAACCAAATTGTTGGAGGTAATTGATGAATAAAAGAGACAAGGGCACAGAGACAAAGACAGACGGGAGTGGGAGAAAGTAACAAGGTTGGTACAGTCTTGTCAGAAAGCTGACCAACCAGGGAGTTATGATAATAAATGGAAGTGAACAATCCATATTTTTGCATAGTGCTGAGTAATCAAAGA